GAGGAAGAGGAAGAGCTGTATGTTTCTTTTATTCTAAGCAAAAATTTTCGATTTCTTGAAGGATCTCGAGAGGCCAGGAATGTTCCCGAACGGCAGTGGAATGCTGTTGATAACAGTCACAGATGATGAAGGAAGAAGAATAGAAAAACAATCTTTCGAGAAAACCAAAGCAGAGATTGTCGAGTTGTTAAGAGGTGTCTACGGACCGAATATTTCTGAGCCAACAGGTACAGAGTCTAGAAGCCGTGTAACAAAACGAGTTTCCTTGTATAATAATAAGTTAACGATTCTTCCTTCCTTTTGTCCTATATTTCTTTTCCACACAATCGTATCCAATATTTTTCTCAAAGCACTTCTCCCTTTCTTGCCCCTTTTCCATCCCCTCCTCTACTACCTTCTGCAACACCTCCACTACCTTCTGCAACACCTCCACTACCTTCTGCAACACTGCTCCACTGCTTTCTGCAACACCTCCACTACTTTTTGCAACACCTCCACTACCTTCTGCAATACCTCCACTACCTTCTGCAATACCTCCACTACCTTCTGCAACACCTCCACTACCTTCTGCAACACCTCCACTACCTTATGCAATACCTTCACTATACCTTCTGCAACACCACCACTGCTTTCTGCAACACCTCCATTACCTTCTGGAACGACTCCACTTCTCAAGACTGACACCTGTCCAAACAACGATCGAATAACATTCATAAATCATGAATATTTTAAGTTCGACACATCTAGATCTTTTTTATTCGATTCTTCTAGATATCTACTATAMTCGTTGGTCTTTGAATCCTTACATTCGTGGGTCGTACTCAGACGGTACCATCGGCATGTCATCCAAAGACTTCAAAAACCTCGCCAAAAACCTTGGAGCCCTTTACTTCTCCGGCGAAGCAAACGACGAAGTTTGGTACGGATACATGCAAGGTTCGCATATCACGGGCGAAGAAAAAGCGAAAGCTATTGTCCAGATGATGAAGTGTAGAGAAGCAGGAAAAACTGACTGTGGTGACATCAAAGACCCGAAAGGCACCGCCAATTCTATCGCAGTTTCAATGCTACTTCTGTTATTCTCTTTCACTTTGCAACTTTTTTACTAAAAAACTCGATACGGGTCATTCGTATGCTGATAAATAGTATGTGTGTGTTTGTTTGTTCTTTTGTTTTTGTTTTTGCCAATTACCATGACAAGCTTCAAAAAATCCATTGAAAGAAATCTAAGACAAATCCCATCTCGTCTTGTATCCAAATCTGTTAAAAACTGAGTCTTTTTTTTCCTAAAAACGGTACAAAGCTTAGCTCTCTTTCGCGTTAGCACTGTCGTATTCTCTCGAGGCTATTTCGTCAAGCCTTTCAGAAGGTTGTTTTTAAAATTAAGAACTTCCCCCGGTCGCATTAAAAGGTTTTTCTTGTTCAAAAGAAAGCCATGTAATCTAAACGAGGATTAAAAACCGGTTGTTAAAGTGCTACTACGACGAAAATCGCTCAAACTTGGATTCAGCGGAAACTTCCTAAGAATACTCTTTAAAGGTCCAATAATCACTGTATGAAGTGTTTTCTCGATATTCAGTACGAAAGGATGATATTTTTACGATTATTTTTTGGAGTCTGTGACGTCATACACTCAACATCGAACATCGCTCCATACATTTCTTTGTAGTTTATGATCAAAATATCAGTAGTAAAGGGAGAAAGAAATACCCAAACACCCCAAAATGTAAATTATAGTCACAAGTAATGTGAAATAAGCACATTAGCCACCCTTTGGGCTTCATAGGAATAAAAT